ATAATTGGTCTGACCGATGTCGGAGTTTTTCAAAATCGGTCTGTAATGTTATCGTCATGACTATTCTTGAGAGTATGCACTTCCGCTTTGAGCCCACTTTTATATGGTCGTGTGTTGTTCGACACCCCCTCGAAATTTGGCACAGATAATGCGAATACTGCCTGGTTACTGTTTTCGTTAATCGGTATCTGCTGTGTTTCGCTTACCCTCTTGCTAGGCACATCTATATCAACTTCATGTTGTACCTTCAGTCTCTTTTACGGCGAGTCTGACACCTCCTCCTTTAGATTTTTGTGATTGTTCCCTCTAAACTATCTCGTCGGGCTTTCTCCTCCTCTAGTATTTCTAGATGCTCCACGTCACTACAGTTAACTGGAGTCTTACATATCAATATTATCTGGGGATTCGTTATGTTAGGATTCGTGCTCCCTACTCCGCGTTTTCCTCTGCGTATATGCTGCTAATCGATTCTCTGTAAGCGTAGAATCTGAGGTTTTCGGAGCGCCACCCATGAGCGCATTAATTTAGAAGCACATTTATTCTTTTAAAGATTTTAGGTGTACACAACAATTAAAATTACAAAGGAACGATCGATTCAGGATAAACTTTGCTGTTAGTGGAAATCGTCATGTTTCATTCAAAAGACAGCGAAAACGTATAGGGAAAAATGACGAAATTATATCTTTGCACAGACATCTTCAGTATCACTTGTTGTAGTGTGATAAATGCTCCGGGTACTATTCAGAAATCCCGAAGGTTAAGTCAGTAAGTGGAGTTAAGTGTTCGAAAGATTCACATCTATGGGGATACTATCGATAGATAAAAATGAATAGTGTCGATTGACTAAAAAGGATTGAGGCATATGAGCTTGATCGATAAAGCAATGACGCCATGCAGCATGTGAACACAAAACACAGGCTATCGCAAGCCGTAACAGGTTGTTAGTGTGTATTTTTAGCATATAAATAAAACGGTGCAGGAAAGCTCAGGTGTACAAGGAAATATAAAGAGAGAGCTGAGCATTCGCACAGGCCTCGATATTCGAGGCGTCCAAAATTGAAGTTAGCTATTATGCAGTTTACATTCTACGCTGCACACCTCCCCGAGAATAAAAAACATGGTTTCCACACATAGTATTTATCGTTATTTTTGTGCTCCTCTTTAATACGCAGCCCTTTTTATCTGTTGATTTTTGATCTAGTATGCTTTACATGTACGAGGTTTCGTCAGTCTTGTGCGCTACCGTCCTACTTTAACAGTCGGCTGGAGTTTTGACTCTGTATTTTCACTCCCTCATTATGTCCTTACCATTTTCGGAGGTGTAGGTCGTGACGCACTTGGAGCACAGGTTCTTACACTTACGGTTTCTTCCTTTGCTATGTGCCTCGTCAATACCAACCGTTTCTATATATTCTTTCAATACTGTAATGCTTAAATAAGGTTTGGAACAAGTGCGATTTTCGGTTAAGCTTGAATTATATGTTCAAAATTCCTAATTTCCAAACATAACTTGGGATTTTTTCTGACGAATTGACGGTAACACGTTTTCCGCTTTTACTGCGCTGTAAGTCACGCGGTCGAAATATGCACGAATCCTTGTCCACTTGAGGACCTTGGCTGTAGTCGAGATGGCCTCCCTTTTTCTTCCGACCATAAGCCCTTGGGTTTACCCAGATCCTTATTTTACGGCTTTTATGCCGATTTCGTTCCTATTATCTCAAATTGGACGTTTCTTACACTAAGTGCTGTTTGTTTGTTTCGGTTGCGTATTCTTGATTCTGACATAACTTGCGCCTTTCCTGATCTGTCTTTGTGTGGACTTGTGTTGTGCACTGCTCTCTTATTTTCGTTTGACTTCTGAGTCTTTTTTAGCGGACAGAGCGCAGAATTTGACTCCCTTGATAGCACTGCCGCTAACGATACAATTTTTTAGAGTCGGCGGTTAGTTATGTGGTTGGCTGACTCCTTTCAGTGCCTCCAAGCACAATCTGCGCATCAGCCAGTTCTGTTAAATGGCGTTGAAGACTTTAACGACTTACGCTGCACACCATTTTTGCATTGCTTGTCGGGCTCTGCCGAATATGTTTTGCAAGCTCCTCGGTCGTCGGGCCGTTTGATAAGAAAGCTGCAGAGTACCAGAGAACTTTAGATAGGTGATGCATGTTGAATGCACTTTGGAGGTGGGAAATTTATACAGAATTTAGATTGTCCTGTGTGGGGGTTATAACAGCCATGAGTAGACACGGCGGCGGATGGGCAGCAAGGCCAAGTTATTTGCGAAGGTTGTGCCCTGTCGATCGATTAGTTAACTGGCCTCAGACACGCAACCACAGTTGGACCCGCTAGATCTTGATCGCTTGTCTGTTAGTCGATTGTTATTAAGTTGGATTTCTATTCGTTAGATAATTACAGCGTAAGTACCGAGTTCCTTTGTAAATTAATTAACCGAAACGTTCGTCCGAAGCGGATAGCATGCTGCATGTTGTCCGTTATTTGTCTAAGTTATAGGGACTTCGTGCATCTTGACATTATTGTAGGCTTTACCTACAAGGGGAGACATAAAAAATCCGTTAGAAGACATTTCGATCCAATAATTTAAACAAAACTTCTCCCTCTAACTTGGCCTTTTGTGAATGTTCTTTAAACCACAGTAAGTAACCACATTTATTGTCAATTTATTGGAAATTCACATGTCATACACTTGTGCTTTCTACGATCCGCGACAGCCGATTTAAACATTCCGGCCTAGTCATCACCAATGGGAGAAACTGAATGCCGAAAATCTATTAACCGCTTCCATGTCTTGGCGAAGTATGTTAGGTCTGATTTGGGGCTGATCTTCTAGCCCCGTATCAGGTCATGCAACTTTGGCAAACTCAAGTTAACAGCGCTTAAGTGAAGGGGTTTACAACGAAAAGTGCTCCAAAACCAATTTGGTCGTTCTTGTATGGCCTGGGGTATCTCCGAGATGTGACAGCGACTGCGTACCATCTAATTAGGGACGAAGTCAGTGTTTTTCACTTAAGGGTGGCTCTGAAGCATCGGGGGTCAAACTCCCAGTTTCCACTCTTTTTCCAAAGCCACGGCCCAGCAAATGCAATATTACGGTAGGACAGGCCCGAAAAATGACGGCCACGCAGAAATCTTTGCAAAACACTGGTTTTCCTGGCGTGGATAAAAGAACAGATTGCTTTAGCAACCCCATTCGTCCACGACCAAATTCGATAGGTCATCATAGACGATATTGTTAGCATAGTCGTGGTCAGTCAGCTGATGGACGCGTGAAAGTTCCATATCGTCAGCGCAACGCAGGACTCGTCAGAGAATCCAGTAAATACCATAGTTGAACTGCACTGGCGACTGAATGCAGGCTTGTGAAACTCCATGCCGATTACGGAACAGTTGGCAGAGATTATTGGGAATCAGGACTCGTGCGGTACTGCAGCAATAGCAGATCCTGAGCACAACAAATATACTTGCCGGTATACCGTCTAGTTTTATTGTCCCGTCACATGGAATAATGTTGGACGAAGTAAAACGTCTATTACTTTGGCGGAGTTCAAACATGCGCCGTAACTGAGTCTCTAGAACTGAAAACTTCAACGATTATGATTTGATTCCTTCTTCTTTATCGACCCGAGCAATAGAGGGGAGCCGTATTTCCGTGCCTAGTGACTTAACGGTGCTTAGTTATCTTGATTTTACGAGATCAAGTTGTATTACGCGAGACGCTTCGGCCGAAGATAAGAGGCAAAACTCTCGGACGTGTGCGAACGAGAGCATGGTTTGACCCATAGCTGTTGCTAGTTTTGGCCCAACGTATGGACCTCCTATGTTTAAATCAAATGCAAAATCATAAACTGACTAGAGCGTACTCAGTCAGACTGGTCATACGACTGTCTTTCGAATACCGCGTTACCAGATATTTTCGGAAATGTGTAAGTCGCTTTTGGTCGCGAAGGCTCAACATCTTTTCACCGTTGTCGCACAGAGAACCAAGCCGTAAATGGTCAATAGGGCTACATTTTAAAGAGCACCCGACTCAGTCCGGCCGTTCCAGTCAACTGTAACCAGCGGGAGATCACGGCGGAGTCGTCTTTGAATCAGCTCTCGCACCTATGAATAAAAAGGTTCGTAAGTCGCACTGGCTGGCAGGTAATGTTGGCATCCACGTAGAAACAATAGCGATGTTAGTGATGGTGCGTTAGTCGTACGTTAGCTAGTCCATCATTGATTTATTCTCAGACAAACAATACACGGTCCGTCCGTTGCGAGAGGCCACTTCCCACACCTCCTTTGCCGAAGTTGTATGAGCAGCTGTGATGGAGGGTCAAGTGAAATTGACTCCTGGATATTTATCTCCCAAATCCTGTGTCTGGGACTCGGCCTTCGGACATATAGTAAGTAGCGCTTCTTTTCATGTGGACTGCGCGGTGTCAGGTTTCGGGGTTTCAAGTTCGAGAGAGGGACTTTATTTTGAATCTAACTGCTGTTCTGGCCGCCATATGAGCGAGTGACGTATTTTCTTCGACCGATGGTTTTGAAGAGTATTTGTGTTGACTTTTGGATTATCAGAGACGTAACGGTTCTACTATTCGTTTTGTGACCTTTTTGCCCAGTTTTGCGACAATGTACACTCAAGTAAACCCCAGAGGTTACTCCGACTGTATTTTTATCTTCTTTTACTCCAGCACGGAACACGAGTGGTTCTTTATGGTAAAAATGTACCTTGGAAGTTGGCTGTCTACGCTTACTGCAGAATGCCGATAGTGTCTTGTTAATATTAATGTATCGGCTTTCTAAGGCGGCCTTCTTTCGCCTATTTCTTATAGTATCCTCACTTTTCGTCGCGAATTTGTGGAACGTATGTTGTGTCCATTTTTTGGTCCTCCTAAATTTGGGCGCAGTTCCCTAACTCCCTTGCGATTATTGATTTTGCAACTTCTCATTCTCTTGTTTCAGACTTTTCTGTTGACTGTCTCCAGTCTTAATTTTCCGACATGGTAAGTTTGAGCTCTTTCTTTACGACAAAAACTTTAAGAGTGGCGAAGAAGGTTCAGTTATGGATACGGTCGAACTCTTATGTGCCCCTAAGAAACTTGAGAGGGATCGTGGGGAAGCGTTGTTAAACGCAATGACTTTTACAGACGAAGAACTCAAAAACATGGTTGACTGGATCTTAATCAAAGCGGAAAATCTGCCAACGTGGGAGGATGTACGCCTCTTTTGCGGCAATATATTGATTTTACGTCTTCTAGGTCTTTGGTGCAGTGACCTTGTCACGCATTCTTCTACAGAAAGTGCCGGATGATTCACTGGGACCGCTTAGGCTGCGCGAAGAGGTTGTCGAACGAATGTCAGAGTTCGACACCCACTATGAGTACCGAGTGAGACTGGCTGCAGCTGAATTAATGGAAGTTTTATGTGCTAAAAATGGTCTGCCAATGTTTCAAAACTTCCTTCCAACAATAAAAGGTGGAATCGAGGAGAATTTGGAACGTGACCCACTCTGCACGAGTCAAGAAATGGAGGCATCACAGAAAGAGTTAGACTTAGCCACGGTAAATCATCTGGCTTTTATCATCTATTGCAGTCCCGTGTTACTAGTGGTGCTGAGCCTGTCTCGTTTTTTGCTTTATAGGACAGAAATCCTAACCTTAGCAAGAGTTCCCTGACAATCTTCCACGACACTGCTGGTTGGCGAAATTTGGAGACGTGGATGAAGTGCCTGGAGCATTGCATAACAGGTCTTGGCTCAGACTTGTTTAAGGACTTTCGCGATCCGGAAATTCTGTCCCTGATTTTCAAGGCGGTTAATCATACGAATCGTTTCGTGCGGGAGACAGGCTACGAGCTTCTGAGCACAGTGATCCTGAATCACGGCTGTCACGGAAAGGGGGTAGAACAGGATGGGGTGGAAGCGGTCCCCGACTTTGTTCGTGTTGCGGAACAACTGGCCTTTGGATTGGCCGATAACTGGAGCCGGGTAAGGGTTATTACAGTAACTATTTGATAGCCTTCTAGACTTCTTAGGTAATAGTTACCACGGCCTTTGACCCATGCTTTACAATGGTTGTTGTGTTAGCCATCCTTCCAAAAGACAAGACTTTTATGTGGGGGTAAGAAATTTTGAGCAGTCCCTCGCATCTCCTGACCTCGAGGCCAGGCTATGAGCATTTGGGCTCTGTCTGTCTTGTTCTAGTCTAATTTTTTTTAATATATAATTCCTTGCCGTATTTTCGTACTCAACACCATTTCTGTGTGACTCTTTTGGGCTTTGGTGTGAGAGGCTTAAAGTGGTAAGGGTAATTGATCACCGCAGTTGCTCTCCTGCCGTTCCGTGGTAAATGACCGATTGAAGTAATTTGAGTGTCATGGTTAAGTATTTTGGTGTATTCCTGGCTCTAAAACTACTTTTCCCAATTACAGTCAAGCTTATTAGATTTCAGAGATAGTATAATGGGACCAATAGTGCCATTGTCCGCGTTTTAAATCACAAAACTTCTGTTGACAGTTTCCAGACCATTTAGTTCTTAGTTTTACTTATTTATTTGGCCACTCAGCTCGTCCATTAGTGACAGTGAACTGACCTTCAACGGAAGGGTGCTTTAGATTCGCGAAAGGCATCCACCACCCAAAATTTCTGTTAAGATGGAAAGACCTGCAAACAAACCATGTAAAATTCCGCAGAACATAATGATGGCATTGTGCCATGAGGATCAAGAACCACCTTAAGGCAGGCTCTTATCTCCACCACCACACTGCTTTCTGGGTATCTAACAAAGAGCCGAGAGGACTTCGCCGTTAGAACAATAATTTTACCCGCCTGACTTTTCAGACTTCCTCTCAGTAAGGCTGGCAAGGGTGAAGATACCGGATGCACAGGAGATGCACTTGCTACGTAACCACAAACTTAAAGCCAATACCTCACGCCTGTATCGCAGATGTCAGTAATTGGCTCGATAGTGACTTGGTCACTCGCATCTGAGTCGTCAATCCGTGCGATTTCATCAGTAGTGGTGGTGCTGTGTGTGATAATTACTCGGCAACTTTCTTTACCAGCACTGCCGCTGAAAGCGGTGTTTCACCCGCGTGCCACCCCGCGTAAATAATAGCTGTACCTAAACGGTATCCTATTATAAAACGGGGAGGAGGAAGATCTCAGCTCTTGTTAGTGGATTGTCGGCCGGAGAACTGCGACCAAATGGCTCATGACTCATGTGACTGGCATCCCACGTGGAGATTTAGACCTCATTGAACTTCACAGTGTAGCCCCGAGTGTAAAGTTGGCACCATACCTCCTGACTGCCGCTACATGTTCGGCCGTCCGCGTTAGGGGTAACCTTTCCGTTTCTCTGACTTAGGTGTTTTGCCCACAACTGTACCGGATCCGGTAAAAAGCTGTAAGGGTTCCTCGTCGATTGATCCCTGCGTGCAATCCTAACTCGAGGCGACTAACGGTTTTCTTATTGACGTAGGGAAGTGTTGACCAAGATTTTGACCCAATGCAGTCCAGTCTCATCTCAATGGAGTTGCGCGGATAATCATTAGCTCTGAGAACTCGTCGAATTTATTGACTTCCGCTTCGCCACAGACCACACTACACCTGTACAGCACACTCAACCGTTTAAATGTGCGTAAGGGACGAAGCCGTACTGAACCCACACATTGGCAAACGCCCCCGTACGTCAAGAGCGCCTCTGGAACTGTCTGGTGCTATGTCCTATCCCACCATGCAAAAGCACGTGCAATGTGTGCAGGAACTGGTGGTATTAGTACGTGTATGGCCACGTAGCAGCCTCGTCCCATTGCCATTACATCTCTCGTACGTCGTCTACTTTTATCTACTAGCGCCTCTGGTGAATGGTTCGAGTGGATCCGAACGTAAGCCAAGTAAAATTCTTATCCCAGTGGTCTAATTTCCATCCGTACAACTTCTTTCTGGAACCCTCTTCTCATTCATACTGATGATGAAGATCTCCAATGACCATGGAAATTTCCGTGTTGTCTTTTCCAACTCATGCTACGGCGTTCCCGGTGACCGACTCGTCCAAACCTCGGTCGGTTGGCCAGATGGTAAATATACAAGCCGACTCTTTTCTGGAGCAGGTATTTCATATCTGAAAGCAGGGCCTAATTGTAAGCTCTGGTGCACTGAAATGTAGACTTCCTGTCTCGGGGTTTGCCTGCCAACTCATGATGCGTGCAACGTCGAGGTGTCAAGTACTTTTAACTGTTTTTTTTACTCCTAACATGGTTGTGCATTCGCAAATGCGGTTTACACCGTGTTGCGGTCGCTCTGCATAATCAGCCCGAAGTTGCCCTTATGTTCCGCAAACTGGTTCTGCTGGGGATCGCACTTTTGCATCTTTGTGGTATTATTTTCGATGCCACTGCAAGATAATAGTTAGGCCCGTCACAGCATCTGACCTCGCCTTTGGGGGAGATCAGAATGCTAGAACTGGAAAAGGTGATATACCTATAGAGAGATCGTGCGAATACGAAGTAGGAAATCATTATGCCAGTATTAAGAGGTTTGACGGTTTCATTTCTGTGAACACTTGATTATGGCATTGCCGGAGACAGCTAGTCGCCTAGTACGTCAGCTACGTTCCAAACTGTCTGTTGTCGAAACTTCACAATTTGCAAAGAATACATTATGAATCGTTTCACTGCTACGGCTTCTGTAACGTCTTTTGTGTACCCGTTCCTGACCTTAGGTCCGCATGGCAGCTCTTAAGGCATCGCGCACCTTCTTCGAGGTACCACCACCGCCGGGGCTCACCTACGAGGACATCTACGGCATCTTACTGCCTGCAATCTGCCTTAATCGGTTTTATGTAGCCGAGGGTGTCCGCATCTTCTGTCAGGATACTTGGTGTCACATCACTCAGGGTCATGGTCGCGAGATGCTTACCAGCATTCTACCTGTCACGCTAGACTACTACGTTCTCCAGTCTGGGGTTGACAATCATGCCGTGAGTTCTTTTCTGTCCTTCGTCCTTTTTTAGGCTGGTGGAGGGGGGCACAAGTCTATATTCTACCTTCTCTTGTCCTGCAGGTTCGTGAGGCAGCGTGCGCCGCACTCGCTGAAGTCGGCCTGAAGCTCGACCCAGCCGGTCTGAAGCCGCACTTGCCCAAGTTGTTGGAGGCCCTGTTTCGCTGCTTCCGTGATGACAGTTGGCCTGTGCGCGACGCGGCCTGCCTTGCCCTGGGCAACCTCATAAACGTCTTCCCTGGGGAGGTGCGCGAATGTGGCTACCCCGACCTCATGGCAGAGTACTTCCTTAACAACCTCTCAGACAGTATTCCTTCTGTGCGCCAAGGTGCGGCCACGTCTATTGCAAAAGTTCTTCAGAGTTCAGGCGATCCGGCCTTAGAAAAGGTGATCTCATCGGCCAACTGATAACTTCACTGTTTAATTGTACCAGTCAGGCGAATTCATAGAGATTTAAAGTCAATGAGATGCTCTATTCTTCGTGTCAGAGGTTTGATAAATTGCCTGACTCGATCCTGACTTAACGCATACATTGCCCTTCTTCTAGCGCTATTTGGACTACATCATTACCCAATTGTCGGAGGTCTCCCAACAACCTGCGGACTCCAAGGGCTCCGCCGGTCAGTCTCGCGGCCAGGGAGCCAGTGTTACCGTGCTGACTGGGGCCGAGGCTCGCGATGCAAAGCACACAGATCAGGTCATGTACTCATGCGGTTCACTTACACCCAAAATTAGATCAAAAGGCAAGTTTTCTTACCCCTACTTGTGTTTGGCGTCTTTGTCAACCACGGAAAAAGACCGTGTGCGTTCAACACCTGGTCCGTTCCGACAACAGAGTTTAATTTTACGATGCTGGCGATTCATCAGTAAGACCTCATTTGTGGACTGTCTTGTGGCGAATGCCGCACGTTTGTGATTCCAGTCTCAGACGATTACCAGGCGGCATAGTTGGCCGAATAAGAGCATAACGTGCCCTCTCGCTTCATCTCTCCCCTATAGTATGTTACTATGGTATCCGTCCTGTTCAACGCTTTCAATATTCCAATAATAATAATTTGAGGTACGTCCTTGCGTAATAGTCAATATAATGTTGTCATATCAGAGTGGTCGCGTCTTTCCAGTGTATCCACTCGTAATCCGCTCATATATGGCCTCTCCTTATGAACGGTGGTCCTATGTAAGCTTTACGTGGTTTCATGTGGAACAGTATTTCACCAACCGAATGACACACTTAACCTTGCCGGCTTACAGACCTAGGGGCGTACTCTTTTCTTTGTAGGCGGCACGTGTTGCATGGACGACACGTTTAAGCGCGCCACCGAACCCTGGGAGCGCTGCGATGGTGCTATCCGTTTGATCGGCGAGCTTGCAACTCTGGCACCCAAGTTTATCACTGATAATATCATCGACAAGATGGTCTCTGCAGCTGCCATCTCCCACTATCCGCACCACCCCTATCTCCTCGAGACTGGTGAGTTTGTCCTTCCCTCTCCCTCCGAGGTCCCTTTCTTTCAGCCCCACTGGCCGGCCTTTCCCTTTGGGGATATTCACTAGTCAAACTTACGTCAAGGAGTGGGCGTTCGGAGAAACAATCCCTTTATACCCCTCACTCCCTGTATTAGTCTGTCCCAAACCTCTGGAGTACTCCGTGGCTGTTTCGATGACCATATAATCATTCTAGATATAGCAACTCAATTAAGTCTCCCAGGATTATCGCGCCCTCAGTTCCAATGTGGGATTGTGAAATCAGGGCATCTTTCTGCTGACGCTTCAGGATTTTTGCCTATTCATTCTGCGGGGCGAAGCGGAGGGTCTTGAATCCAGGGGGTTGAAGACACTATCTTTAGTGAGACGCTAATCCAAAGGGTCTGCCCACTTTACAACAGCCAGCCTTGTTTGTTTGGACGTTTTAAGATTGTTCACATATCTCATCCTGTAGATCTACGTCGTAAAGCGGACAGACACAACGGTAACTTCCAGTCGCTAGTATGCATTGATCTTTCGTTTCTGTGAATTACTTATCCGTCTGAGTTGCCGGTCTGCCCTTCAAACTTCCGATCATAGAAGAACACTCATTCGGTCGCTTATAGTTAATAACTGCTAGGCTGAGATCAGGGTCCGAGTGACTGATTAGCGGTGCTCTCTTCGTCTCACCGAAATTTCCTAATATTTTGGTCCTGTTAGTTGATTCTGACTTTAGGCCCCCTCTGTACTTCATTTGCTCCCTTGATAGCTCACATTCTCTGCCGTTATTTTATTTCCCTTAGCTTGCAGAACAATCGGCTTATTATGTACAGGACTGGATAAGGCCATGTTCAAGCGAAACCTGGATTCTCTGCTGCCGGTGCTGGCTTGGGCAGTAAGTTCGTCTATGCCGCTTGCCGTCTCTGCTGCTGAGGACTGCCTCACCATCCTGTCTCAGAAACTCGGTCCTAACGTGCTCCGCAGCCGCATCGCGAACCACTTCGAGGTCACCACCGTCCCGCGTTTGCTCGAAATTCTGCCTCCGATTCCCTATTAGTGCACCTACCCTTGCACATATATTCACTGTCTAACGTTTTTCCCCCAACAGCATCACCACCACCGCAAAAATTCCGCTTGTCCTTTTCGAACTTCCTTCGGGATCTCGTTTTCAAATATAACAGGTGTGTGCGTGTGCGTCAGTGTGCACGCGTTGACCTGCACTAGCTGTGCTGTTTTTGGCTTTCGGTGCCTTGTGTCCTAGGTTGTCTGCTGCGCCATTCCGTTTTATGGCTGCACGTCGGCAGGGGAACATCGTGATTATTGGTGTGCTCTGCCTCCTCGCTACAGACAGATTGTTCTGACCACTCGATTTAATGGAGACACAGGTAGTGTGAAACGTCTTGTCGGAAAATCCTTCCAGGCTGGTCTTTTCGCTCGGGGTTCAGTAGAGACATAATGTTACTTGGTGGCAAGATATAAAAAGTCGCCAAAGATGCCCTGGGGTTCCTAGTTTGTGTATTATGCGAATGCCCGGTGTTTGCATATTGCTCAAGAGTCGAGGCTGCTACGGGTCCGTTGTCCCGCCAAAGAAGAGCGGGGCGTCGGAGGGACGAAGAAATACGACATGCGGACTTCTCTAAAGCTGGCTGCCCGCCATATAATGCGTTTCACGATGGAGTTTGGCTGGCAGCCGAGGCAACCCGTACGTAACTGCAAAAAGACTCGCTATTGAGCGGCCGTTTGAGCCTCTGGGCGCGTGATAAGGTGCCTTTTTTGCGGTCAAGGGCCTGTTTGTACGTAATGTAAAAGGAGAACGGATGTATCAGTCAGTATATTTGGAATAAAGGACAGAAGCCCTGAAAACTCCATTTAGACGGCACATATGTAAGGGAAAATGGTTAAGTTGCAAAAATTTTGTTTGCATTTTTAATAAGCAGAATTCATATATCTACTAATGGAACATAAATGCGAAAAGGGCTATGGCATTCGCGGAATAGTTGCAAAAGACTTTTCACCGCATTCGGACCGGGAAAATTTCCACACGCATCAAGTTTGACGCACGAAACGGATCTGTTGAAATGATGTTAGTTATTCTCTACACGAGAGGCAGCAACATACGAGCAGTTACGTTTGCTGCACCGATGTCTCCAAGACGAACTAACCCCACGATGCCTGAGATGTAAAGCTCCCGTTAATACGGCCATGGGAAGAGAAGTTGTGAGGCGGTTTGTCAAACAGATGACAAGAGTTCTGATCGACGACTGTCACCGGCGTTTGCAGAAGTACAAGGCTGAGATCGAGGAGAACAGAAGGCAGTGTGTCCACACTCTCGGCGATTCTATCGCCGCAGATCTTGGGAAGACGATCTCTGCTCTGGCACACCACAGGCAAGCCAAGAAGAGAGAAGCTTTGGAACGGAAACTGACTAAGCTAAAACCACCAAGCACAGAAAGCTCAAACTTGGTCCACAACCTCTCGTCTAAGCAGCTAACAGAGCAGCAACTACGAGTGTTACAGCATGAAACGTGTTTCAACACTGCAGATGCCGATCCTGTCGACTTCATTGCAGCCCTGGAAGCTATGCTTGTGAGAAGTGAAACATCCGACGACATGAAACACTCCGTCCGACAGCGTGTTACCTCCTTGCTGATGACACACAGATCAACCAAATGTATTTCCCAGAGTGAGTCAAAGGCTATGAGGGAACTGAGGAGGGACGACAGCATTATCATTCTACCTGCTGACAAGGGACGATCAACCGTCGTGATGAATAGAGAAGAGTATAATGAAAAAGCTAAAGCCCTTCTTGATGACAGAGAATTTTACAGACCAGCACAGAAGTCACAAGCCAAAGCAGCGGTAGATCGGCTGAGTAAACTGCTTAGAGAATACCGACATAAAAATGTGATCACGGAGAATGAATGGCACCAAATGAGGGCAACTGACACCGCTCTAGCCCGATTCTATGGTCTGCCAAAAATCCAT